GGGGGGGGGCGTAAACGTGCCCGCGCCAACTTTGATGTCAAATAACGTCCGAACGGCTTGGGCTAGGGCCACCAAACTTGGATAACCATACGATATACCGTTCTCGAGTTCTGAGGCGGGACCTGTCTCAGGTCTGTATATTCTTGATTGTACGTGACTTTGATGTAAGTAAACACCAGTACATACCTAAACAAACAGCAGCGACAAGGCGTACAGCCAGGTACGGTGCCGGACAAGGCGCGAAGAAAGGGTACAACACGTACTGCGCGACAGTGATCCCCACAACAGCCGTCGCACAGGGTCTAGCAATGATGAAGTTCTTCCAAATCTCTATAAAACCAACCCAAGGTCCGAAGATTTCGTGTAGGTAGGTATAAGTGCCACCTGACTTGGGGATTGTAGTCCCGAGCTCTACATAGCACAGAGCTCCGAGTAAGGACAGCACCCCGCTTAAACTCCACACGATCAGAGACAAGCCCACGGAACCGGTGGACCGCAGAACTCCCTTCGGTGACAGAAAGATCCCAGACCCGATGATCAGACTGACCGTGGTCGCTACCGCGTGTGTTAGAGTCAGCTCTCTTTTCAAACGGACGCCTGCCGTCGGTTTAGATTCTTGATTTTGCGGCTCTGTCTGCTGCTTAACCCCGCTTTCTTCCATCTTGTTTTCGTCTGGCACTACTTTGTGGACTCAGACTTCGGCCTTGTCCTCTAGTGACCGCAACTCAGACCTTGCCCCCCGATGGCGACCACCAGCCAACCAAGGTCGGTATGTGTTTTGGTTGTGGCAGTGGTCGGGAGGCCATCGTCGGCTTTGTAGTACTTGTGACAGAAGCTTTGAAGTAACGTTGTGTAAAATTTCAGTATACTACTATCACCAGGTACACCTGACAGTGAGGTCTCTTAGCGATCAGAATTATTATTCCAGTTTACTGAGGGAAAGGACTTTGCATGCAATAATTTTAGCATTAATAGGCGGCGCTTTTGATCCATGCAACGATGCTGCCGAGTTACACACTTCACTGGTGATTGCTTCACACCAACACGCGTCCTAAAGGGAAGAAGCTGACTTTCCGGTCCTTGGTTTGCAGAACAGTGATGTTTCTACTTCTAGTCAAGCCAGATAAACTTCTTGTTTTTCCTTACAATGTACAAGTAACTGATTAAAATATACCATTTCTAAAATCACACCATAATACTTCACAGGACTTTCCATTTGCAAAGAAGTTTTATTTTCTGACCAGAGGTGTCCAATACTAGAACATCCATTGTAATAACATATGTAACATCTTTCCATATTGTTAATAATTATATCTCATTGCAATCTGACGCAAAGCTGGAGAAAATAGGTAAATGTGGCACAATACGTACTTCATAAACTCTTTGCGTACTTTTTTTCGTCTGGTGTATCTGTCACTGTACATTGTATTTATACGCTGTTTTAGACTGCAATTCGTTCATAAGTACCGTTATACATACTAAAAGGAATCTATAAAAAACTTAACATTGAGACGGTTTACTTTTAAGCAAGTTGCTGCTGCTTTTAACACTATATTCCTGTGTTCTATGATTTCAGAACAATGTCTTTAAACAAAGCAGCAGAAAATATTGCAACAACCAAATCAAGGGGGAAAACACAGTGCTAATTGCGAATAGAAGAAGGGCACTTTTGCTAATACCTTACATTTACCTTGAAGTAAATTTACAGTGACTTAAGGTATAGGATAGGGCTTCGCAATGTTCAAACCCTTAAAGTTCATCTTGGGCAAAACCTTATGGTATAGGTAGGAATGTACCATTATAATTCTAGCATATTGACTATGGAGAGAATCTTCCAACTCGTCTGTAATAGTTGACAATAATTGTGATCAAAGTTAGGGACTTTTGCTAACCGAATAAAGCTCTCAGGTTTATGTATTTCAGTCAAAGGTTTAAATTTGGTGCTAGTTTATGTACTTTCTCAATTTCACCAAGCAGGCATAGATGCACGTGGAAGAGCATATTGATAAAATGTACTGCGCCTGCACAAAACCCAGTTTTGCAGTTTTTGGTCAATGTTGCATCAGAACTTTACCTGTGCAGATGATATCTTTTCCAACACAACATTTGGAAACCATAGACGGGATGTCATCCTGAAATACACAAATACCTCCTACAAAGAAACATTCTGCTGAAGTGTTATGCACAATACGTTACTGGTTTCACACAGGTGCAGTACGTTCTGCCAACGTGCTTTGTGGAAGCATTGGAAGAGTCATGACAACAAATAATGATTCAACAACTTATTACACTTACTTACCATCAGCATACAACTTAAGTAGGTACGTTATAATCTGTTCTCTTTGGAATATATGGAAAGCACACATGCTTCTCTGTACAAATTTTACAACTTCATTCTCACGTTCTTTTCTTTACTCTCCAAGCAGAGGTTTGGGTTTGGGTTTATTTTGAGCTTTTTAGGGTTTTTATCGGGGTTTCTCTTTTGCACTTGATTTTTTTCCCCACCAAACCCAACCTCTGCCGGCAGTCGAAAGCTTCAATGGGCTATAAACCTAATCACTTCAATATATTACAGTCGTTCTGCAAGGAGGTGTGAACCAGACGCATGAATAGGTACAGTCAGCAGGAGGCGTGTGGCTGAATGAATGTCTTTCTGACTGGCTAGATGTGTGATAATCCAACACAGTAAAATGGATATCCCTAATGATAATTTGATGGTTCCCGGGGAGGAGCACTGTCACGTTTCCTGAATAGGTTTGCCCTGCCCCGGGGTGAGTGCCGGCAGAGGTTGGGTTTTGGTGGGAAAAAAATCCAGTGCAAAAGAGAAACCCCGATAATAAAGCCTAAAAACACACTAAAAATAACTCCAAACCCAAACCTCTGCTTGGAGAGTATCTTTTCTTTACGTTCAGCTGGTATCATGACCGTTTGTCCGCGGGTTGGCTGTTGTCGGTGTAAATCTTTAGCGCCCGCTCCTTGCGTGGCGAGTACGAGATACGGCTTCCCGTCTTGTTTAACCTTGTGTTTTCCTTTCGCTGTAGGTCGCGACGCTGGTCATCGCTCAACGCAGCCAAGGTTTCTTCTGAATCTCTGTAAAGAGTGAAGGAATAGGAAATAGAATTGTGATACATGTATGTAACAGTGGGGCTTTATAGGCACTACCAACTGACCCAGCCGATGGGTCTAGACCTTTCAGCCAAATCGTTAGAGCGTTGGCCAGATTTGCTCGTGGGTTTGAACCCCAGCCCGGGGACCAGAATAGTTTTTATCTGTTTCTACTGTCTCCTCCTGTTTCTTATATGTACATTGTAAATGCTACCACTATACAAATAATAAAATAACTGCATTTTATACTGCACTTGGTGATGCACCGAAAAGGCATTTTGCTTGTAGCAATACCTTGTTAACCTTCTCCCTGCTGCCTAACCCATAACCAATACAAATGGCTACCTTAGCATTAATTTTATGCTTTTTATTATTCATAGCAAGATTGTATTACGGACAATATAAAAAAATTAGCCCTTATCCCTGTGTATGGAGGTTTTGCTTTTGGACTGTCTGTCTATGCACACGACTTTTCACATGGCACATCGGGACACTGGCAGGAAGTAAGGTCTGAGGTCCCAGAAAAGGTTATCTCATTTCCTGTCTTCTAGTCCCTGCTAAATGCATGTCTATTACCTTTTGGAGGCCAGTAGGTCAATGCATAGTCAGAGTCAGTGAGAAACTCTCAATGACAATATAAAAAGAATTTAAAGAACACTGTAATAGTCTAAACATTTTTGGAAGGTACATGTGTAAGATCTTGGATTTCATGTTTGTTTGTTTCGCATAACCAGTAAACCGCCTTTAGGCATAACAAACCATTTTGTACATGTACAAGCTGCGTAAGACCGGACTGTAAGGTTTAAACCACTAACACCAGGAAAGTCTCCTACTCTTTTTGACAAGTGCGGTGGGTTCTTTAGGTCAATGTTGACCAGGTGTGCAGTGTTTGTCTCACCTGTAGAAGAGAACAGACCCGTCATCACATATATAGAGCGGCCAGGTGTTGAGGGCTTGGACTGAAGGGTCCCACTCCAGGTCTGTGTGGATCTCTAACAGGGACACGTCACACGGGAAGGTACCACGGCCCTGGATAGGGAAGAACAGGTCAACAATAAAAAAACTACATCACACGGGAAGGTACCATGGCCCTGGATAGGGGACAACAGGTCAACAATTTTAAAAAAAAACTACATCACACGGGAAGGTACCACGGCCCTGGTACTCTACATCAAGAAAATTGCAATGAACACAAACCTTGGCAAACTGTACTCTTTCCACTGGAATGCCACTAACTTCTGCTATCTGTGGAGAAAAAGAATGCATGGTTAGAAGGTTGATGTAGAAATGCAGTTTTTCTCAGTTACAACAACAGGTCTGGTAAAAAGTTACACATCTTTCCATATGTCAGGCTAAATATACACACTCAAAGCAATGAGTAAAGAAAACACTAAAAGATACAAATTCTTAGGCCACACCAATTTTATTTTTTTGGTTAACGGATTCGCCGCTTCATTTTTTTCAGATTTGCAAATAAAAATAAAAATCCAGAATCAACTGCAAAATGCTCATATTTTGCCCTGAACAGTTGAAAACAGACCTTTTCATCCTAGTTGTTGCAGTTATTCCATCTTTCAATGCAATGGTATCATCAAAAGTTCAAAATTCATTGTTTAAATTTTGAACCAGCCTGGTGTGTTGACTTCATGGCTCCTATCGTACCATTTTGGGCCATAATACGATGCCTAGGCCTGTTTTTATTTTTTTTCGCCCGCCCGCTCCATTATTTTTCTAGAAAAATCCGTTAACCAAGAAATTAAATTGGTGTGGCCTTAGGTATGGAAACTCTGCAACTGCTTCTGTTTAGGGTGGCTAAGCTGTGGGTTTGTGTACCTTTTCGTCCAGACAGAGTAGGTTGACAGCACGTGGGTGGGGGATTGACTGGCAGGACAGGAGGTCAAAAGGTCAGACACAGGACACAGGAAAAGGGGGTAAACTTGAGAGTAGGTTGACAGCATGTGGATAGGGGAAGATTGACAGACAGAATGACAGATCAGAAGATCAGAAACAGGAAACAAAGAGAGCTTGAAGGTCACAAAAACGTCAAATAATTTTGAAATCTGGACTCTCTGATTTCTTGTTTTGTTTTGCTCCAAAGTGATAATAACATGGGGATAAAAAGTAAATTCTAACAAATCTTTTAAATATGTTAACATCACCCTTTGAACATACTGCGCCTGTGTGAAACCCAGATTTTTTACGGTTTTCATACTGTGTTTGGTCAACGTTGCATCAGAATTTTGTATGTTGTAGACGGTATCTTTTCCTATAGTTTACATTAACTATAGACGGGATGTCATCCTTGAATCCGTAAATATAACCTTAATCAAGACATTTTGCTATGCACAATACATTGCGGGGTTTGCGCAGGTACAGTACGTTCTGCCGACGTGCTTAATGATGAAGAAATGAATGACTTATTTTTTTTTTTTTTATAAATCATTCTTTTTATTTTTTCAAAAAATTCACACAAAAGAAAGCATGGCACAAACAACAAAATAACTGAAACCACATGCATAACAACAAAAACTAAATAAAAACCAGTAAACAACACAGATGATACAACAAAGCGTTACAAAGAAAAAAGTGAACCCCCATCACATACAATTAATTTATAATTTCTTCTAGGAGATGAAACTAGACCTATTAATTTTACCCATTTTCCCCCATGTTTTTTTGTCTTGCCCACCCTATTTGAAATGACTTATTTTGTACAAACCTTCTCCTTGAGTTCTTCCACGTTCTGACCCTCTATGATGATCTCCTGAAACGGTCCCAGTTTATACTCTGTGGGAAACCATCTCCTCACAAACACTGCAATCTGCTGCATGGACACCATGGCCTCAGGTTCTGTACAACACAACACAGAAATACATTTCTATTTATTTAAATTGCAAACAATACAGTGCAATACAGTGGAAGCCCTGGCAGCTGAGCTGATGTCGGGCCCCACATTGTGAAATACATACATACATAACACAATAAAGTAACGAATCACATACCCTACAATCCATAACCTAGGCTAATGCAATGTATACAAGAAATACAGAAATACATCAATGAAGGTTAGACATCCAGGTAATAAGATACGCCAAAAAGCAGTTACTCAAGCAACTGGATATGATTTTATTATTTTTAAATTAATGATTTGTTGCTTGAGTAACTGCTTTTTGGCGTACAACACAGGAATCTTACTACATTTTACAAATGAAGAACACCCTTGCAGTTTCCGGTTTGAACTAAAGGTAAACATTTGTTAAACAGCTTCTATTTGTGTATTTGCCTTCTAGAATTATTGCTCTAAGACTTGCAGTTAAGGCCCCACAAGGCAATAGATTGAAGATAGGAAATGAGATAACCTTTGATAACATGTAGCTATTCTGGGACCTTTGAGCTAACTTCCTGTCAGTGTCCTACATTTGTATGTGGAAAATTTCCTAGAATATCATTGGCTGTACCAATTCCATTACTTCTTTGATTACTCTTCAGCTTTTGTGTATTAAAAGAGTGGACTGGTCTAACAGCCAACCAGATGGCCAGATTGGCGGAGGACCGCCAGCAGTGGAAGAACTTGGCCAATCATCATGCTGCCCCGACGGCTGACTAAGCTATGGGAGAGAGTGTACAGAAGACTTTTAGAAGAATTGCAAGTTGGAGGGTTGAGTTAGAATGCTGGAGTCACCTTCGAGCACCTGCAGGAAGACCTCCCAGTTGCTGAAGACTGGAATGTCGTCTTCGTACACCTGCCAGTCCAGGAAGATGGTACCTGGGTTCTTCCAGGTCTTCTTCCGCAGACGACACCTGTGAGGCAAACACAGACTTTTAACAATGACAACTTTTAGAAACAATCCTACCGAGCCCTGCTGCATGAATCCATTACAAACATATACTATAGCAAAGAACTTCAGCAATTAAAAGGAATAATTATTGGAGATTTCACATTTCCAGGAATTAAGTTTTATGGATTTCTGTCAATGTATTGGTTTGCGAGGTTTGTATCGTATGACGCAGTAAAGTTGACACAATTTTTGCACGTTCAGAATAGGTAAATTGCATCTAAAAGGTGAACATTTTGACAATGTAGTACTTGAAAAAAGAAAAACCCCTAAATGCTCTTGGTTTTAGATACAAAAAAATACAACCTCTAGTAAAAAGACAGAAATAGATACATGTGTAACTTATGGATACATGTGGAAGATTGGCCAACTTGTTTTGTTACAGGTACAGGTTCATACCTGTATGTTGTAGGTACACAGTTCTAAGTAGTGCTGATTTTCTGACCTGTCCAGAGGGATGTCCAGTCCACACTGGTCCCTGAGCTGAGGCAGGATGTCTTCTTTAGACTGCAGGACTGTCATACCTTTGGCCACGACCCAGTCTAGCAGGAACTTACAGGGCTGGAAAAAAAATCAAACACATTTTACAACATGCATATTTATTCTGTGAAACATTTACTGCGAATCTTGAAACATTTACAGTGGTATTACTTTGGGGATGACAATGTAAATATGCGCTTCCAATTATTTCTACAGTACTATGGAAAATATTTCAACCATGAAACCTCCTTTCCCTTTCCAGAATTTAAAGTAAATTATCATGATATTCAGTAGAACCGTTCTGTCTAATTCTTAGTTTGATAATCTTTCCTAAGCTCAGTCTTAGAATATATCATAGCATAAACAATGACTTCCAAACACCCTGAAGGGTGGTATCAGTCATAATGCTCATAAACACAATACACATGTGTTAACCAAATGCATGTATGATGTGAGTGCCTCCTAGAAATTCAAAAGTGGACTGCAGGTTAGGAAAAATAACTGAAGATGTCCAAATGTATGGTAAACAGTTCCTCAATAGAGATCATACATTGAAAAGGGCAGATATACACAAGACTACTGTGAATGAGTGCCTCCTAGCAATTCACAAGTGTACTGCAGGTTAGGAAAAGTAACTGAAGATGTCCATACCTCTGGATCATTGACCATGAGCTGGTATATCTTGACCCTGTACTCCCCTTTCCTTAGGGCCCTGCCCAGCCGGATCGTCACCTTACAGTCATCTCCAAACTGGGACAGGTTCTCGTTCAGTCGCACGCTCTCGAACTCCTGATTGTTGGCGTAACTTCTGTACACCTAGAGATACAAAACATGGAGGGTAAATGGCTCCACCCCAGAGGCAATGCCAAAAATGGATTCATTTTTTGAACATAGACATAGGTCTTACATAAATATGGAGGTGTGCATACATGTCCATATACATGAATACATTTCATTAACCACTGAAGATACATGGCTCCGACTCTGAGGTGTCGCCAAAAATTACCTGACCATCATACCATAGATTTTTTTTGCACAAACCATTTTAAGAATTGTTTTTACCTTAAAATTTTCTCCTGTGACGCCAACGAAAGGTTCCAGCTCTTTCTTCAGTGCTCCCAGTGAAATCCTCTTGTCTAAATGTGCTATTAGAACTGGTAGAAAAAAGTCATCAGTACACAGCCACATTCCTGCATTTTGAGGGGGGACATTTGCTGGTAGAGTGACTATGATCATGACTTCTATAAGAAGTCGAACCCCATAATAGCTAGCGTAGTAGTAGAAGTAGAAGTTTTTTTCCAGACAGTTGTTACCTGTCTCCTGTTACTGTATTGCAATGTGTTTTATTCTTGATTGTAAAAGCAATTAGCCTTCGGGCATGATTTTGCGAATAAAGTTATATCTTTACACCCTTATTTTTGTCTGTCAAAGACGACTGTTTCAGCAACATTTTTACCCATCATGAGTGTCAAAATTCCATCAAATGCCGTAAAGATGGATGCTGGCTAGAACACTGTTCACCAAACGAAATCTTCACAATGACGGCCATTCTTTATGTACTACTACCATCAAGTATGCTGAATTCAAATAAACAAACAAATAGCAACAAACACATTTGACTCTGTACATAATGATATTTGATAATTTTTGTACATAATTAATTCTGTGTATAATCTTTACCGAATTGTATATTTCATGTCTACTGATTTTTGATGTCTAATGTTTATTGTTTGACTTGGTTCCATATTGTTTTGTATTATCATTTCAGGTTTGGGAGGACAACTTGTAAAGGCGTTGATACACCTGTTTTGTCCTCCCTTCCACTTGTTTTTGCATGTGGTAAATTCAAATAAAGAAATAAAGAAATAAAGAAAGACAGTACCTTCCTGAGCTGGATCCCCTCCTACTGGAACAGGTACTGTGGAATATTCCGCGTGGAAGTAGTACGGTTGTCTGTGGAATGGCGGCGGCACTTCTGTCTCCGCCTCCTCCCCCGACACCCCCCCTTCATCATGGTCCCCTCCGTTCGAATTGTAACAACTGTCCGTCTCAGTTTCGCCGTTGCTCCCGGAACCGTCGCTATTCCACGGTCCTCCTCCCGCGGAATTATTCCAGTCCGTTCTGTCCGCGGGATCCTGACCAATAGCAGCGTCCGTCTCATCTGTACACGTCCTTTCTTCCTCTTCTTCTTCCTCTGACAACTTATTTTTGGGATCTACCATATTGCACTGGGGGGCGGGGGTGTCCGAGGTTTGCGAGCTGTTCGGGGCAGTGACAGTCTGGTCCGACTCGGAGCCGGGTTGTGTGCTACAATGCCTCATGTGTTCTGTTTCCGTGTCGATCAGGTCTTCCAACTCTGTCTCCTTCGTCGCATACATTCGCTCTCTTAGTTTTGCTGTAAATCAACAACATGTGCTTCAGAATTACACTTCTCATTTTATTTTATTTTATTGGGTATGGACACTTCTTAAACTAAGAACAACAAAAACTGACTGTACTTTGAGATCAACAAGAAATTAGAGATTTGAGACTTCTGGGACGCTGCAATCCTCGGCTTCCTGAATTCCCCCATGTTGGCCTCTAATTCCTGCTGACTCCCCGCCAGATTTTAACCTTTGACCTTTTATTCTGCCTGTCAATCTTCCCCCACCCACATGTTGTCAACCTACACTGTTCTTCAAAACAATACTTATGATCTCAAGTTCAAACTGAAGTAAAAAAAACACAAAATCAAAGTGATACCTGTACATAAAAATGTTTATTGCCAAAAATCTGACTTTCAAAAGAAATGAGGCTCCACCCACGAGGTGTAGCCAAAAAACCTGCCAGCTTACCTGACTCTGCGGGGAGGGTGATGTAGACCCTGATGGTGTTGGCGTATCTGTCCAGCAGGTACCACATCTTAGACTGGGGTAAGGGCAGCAGACTGTCCTGGGAGTCACTGCACTCTACAAACACCTACAGGAGCCAAGATTAGAAATCTGAAATTTCAAACTAGTAGATATAGTATACTTTGTGTTGAATGAATTGCACCCTAGAGTGCATTACACATCATACTTAGATTACATAAAAACAAAAAACTTATTCTGCTATTACACCATGGTATTTCAAACATTTCTTGAACCCAGGGCATATTGGGTCAAACCCTGTCAATCAACCCAATCTCTGCCCACTCACTTTGGAACCCAAACATACAAACCTAGCATAAATTAGAGACAACCAAAACAATACTTCTGCTGTTCCATGAGCTTACAAGACAGTTAAGGATGGTTTGTAAGTAGGAAGAAACAGTAACAACTCCATGTGGTGACATTTCTATGACATTCCAGACTATCATAGTGCTAAGCTATAGCTTTCAAGTTCTTTTAAGTGTCTTACCTTATTGCTTCGCATAAATCCTTCAGCCTTCAGGGTCTTGTTGGCCACAGTCAGCAGCCTGAGCTCATTATAATATCTCTCAAACACAACCCTCATGTTGGCTGCTGGCAGGCCTGTGGCCTAGTGTGAGGAAGAAACAAGAAATCAAAGATATTACTCTTCCATGAAATATTTGTTGTCAATAGTGAATCTGTTGATTATGCAGAATTTATTGATGATTGTGAGCATATTTTACCCATAAAGAGACAATTTAATCTCCAATTTGACCTCATTCCATTTCAGTCTGAGGGGAGACCATTTTGACCTCCAATTTCACCTTCCTGTCATTCTACAGTTACACTGTTTTACTGTCTTTGTCTTGCTTTGCTTTGGACTTCTTTGTCTGTTCAAGTTAGAAACATAGGCCTCAAGGATATCTAAAATACAATCAATCAACTTTATAGCCCAACGATTGTAACTGGTGCAATGTTTACATGTAAACAGACTCTCTCTCTATCCGGTTTATCGTCTATTGTTCCCCATAACCAAGGGTAAGACATGCATGCACTCTGATGCTGGGGCTTGATGGTACAATGTAGAATTACATCAAATCACTCTTTATATACAATATCCTTTTTACGTACCTGTGCCAGTTGGTTCTTGAACTCACTGATAGTCTGGTTGAGGTATGCCCGTACAGTGATGGGAGGGGAGACAGTTTCACACTCCAGGTCTACAACATGGACCTTCACTGTAGTACCTGTGGGGAGGGACAGGGGGCACTTCAGTACAGCTTGCAACACAAAACATGGCAGCTTACAGTATACAACACTTCTACATTACAGCCTCAACTCAACTCTTACAAGTCAACCCAACAAATAGGAATTATACATTTATTATACATTTGTAACTGTCAGATTTTCCTACACCTACAGAGAGTACAAAAAAATAACTCCTGCCAAAATATGCCCAATTTCCCAATATGCCCTATTCCAAAATGTGCCCTATTTCAAAATGTGCCCTATTCCAAAATGTGCTATATTTCAAAATGTGTCCTATTCCAAAATGTGTTCCATTCAAAAATAGGCTATATCACAGATTTTGTCTCATTCCAATTCCATGGAAGTCACCATGAAAATAAAACCGTATGTCTTGTGCCAAGATTTCAAGACTTACCTCCAGTCTTGTACTTCTGGAACTAGAATCTGGTCAGGTCTCCTGGTCTCCAGTAGCAATTTGAACACACAAACACACCACCAGACAAGAAAAAACAACACTTCTTCTTCACTCCTTTTTAAGTTCCACTCCCGAGGTGTTGCCAAGAAACCCTACCTCCAGTCTTGTATTTCTGGAACTTCTGGTCCGGTCTCCTGGTCTCCAGTAGCAGAAGGAACACACACACACAACCATACAAGCGAAAAGCAAACAACAACACTCCTTTGGAGGTGAAGTAGAAAAGGTATCTTAACTCCGCTGCTGAGGTGTTGCGAAAAAGCCTACCTCCAGTCTTGTACTTCTGGAACTTCTGGTCAGATCTCCTTGTCTCCAGTAGCAGGTCGAAGATGTAGGTAGACTTGACTCCTCCCAGCAGCACACCCATGGGTGTCTCCTCCTCACCTTCGTACGAACGCTCCAGCGTGTCGTGGAACTCATCGTACTTCACCAGCCGGCACTGGTCCAGCGCGATCACAGGGTCAAGGTTGAACATCTAACGGAAAGATTTGACATGTGTCAATCAATGGTTTGTAATATAGAAACCTAAAAAATTGCACAAAAGAAAAAAAGACTAATTTGAGGTCTACACTCTATACTAGAAGAGTTATAGAATACTAGATAATAGTAGAGCTATACTTCATTTATTTTCACAGAGACTTTAAAAATTTTACATTGAGGAGGAAAATGGAGGTTTTCACTGTGTTTCAAGTTTGCAGTCAAGACAATTATAGATGTAGTATGGTGCAATGATACATAATTAATTTAAAAAAACACAAAAATAAAACAATGGGAAACATTTCAAGGTTTGCACAAAAAATGTGCAGAATGTAGTGAAAACTATGTCCTCTTTTTCCCTTCCCTGTAGTGATGCTTGGAGAGTGCATTAGGTATACCAGGACTTTGTGATGCATACCGGTTCACTGGACTTGGATCCGGACTTGTAAGAATGTTTAGGTTCAAGTCCAAAAAAACCTAAAAGTCAAGAACCGAGTCCGGACTTATTACCATAAAAGACCATTTCATATACCCCTTTTCTTTTCAAACCACCTAAAACCTTCCGTAGATTGCAAAATCTTTGCTGCAAAATGAAGAAAACATTGCCATTGGGCATCGTCAAGTACCGCCCTCCATGTTACGTGGCCAAAGTTACACCCAGACAACATTGCAAGGTTGCCAACATGCAATTTTGTATATGCCATGGGTTTAGGTCCGGACTTACAAGTCCGGAACTGAACCTAAACCTCTGGACTTGAATCCGGACCTGAACCTAAAATTGGGTTTAGGTATGCATCACTACCAGGATTTTGTGAGTGGTAAAACCCAGTCCTACATGTACATGTACCTTCCAAGCTATCTCTGTGGCCTCGGCTAGTGTCTTGTCCTTGTGAACCTCCAGTCTGCCTTCAAGTAGCTTCTTGGACTCAGGGTGGACACAGAACAGCTTGATCTGTTTCAGAAAAGATAATATGGATGATGAGTTAGAAGGTTTTTACATATACTGTCTTAATACAAATTTTGCACAAAGTCATACACTTGTACATGAATTTTGCACAAAGTCATACATTTTTCAGCTAGCTACTGAAAATAGACCTATCCAATGGCCTGTCAGAACAATGAAATGCAAAACAGTACATGAAAAATGCAGCCACTCTCCAACCTGATACTGCTGCACTATAATTGGGTCAACTACTAATTCGTTTTGGTTCAATGGGATCACTATAGATATCAGAATGATAGACAAGGAACAGTCAGATCAAGATAGACCAATCCTGACTGTCAATCACAATTAGCAGTTCAACCAATGAGTGAACAGCAATTAACTTTTTGGCCAATGGGAGACCAGCTGCATGTCCATCACAAATTTGCATTTCTAGTTTGCATTTCTATGTTTTCACAGAGGATGGTGGGGCTATGGGATCAACCTTTTATCTAAAAAACAGATGTTCGACCTTGTACTTGGAAAAAATCTAAATGAGAGGTGTTGTCACCTTGCACATGGCCTTGTCCATCTCCCTCTGTCTTCTCTCATGCTCTTCTCTGTCGTGAAGTTTGTGCACAAGTTTCTTGATGTGCTCTGGCAGATCAGCAAGCTCAATGGGCACTAGAAAATACATTTCAGATTTCAGGTGTTTGCAGTAAAATTAATACAAATCAGCAAGCTCAATGGGCACTAGAAAATGCATTTCAGCTTTCAGGTGTCTGCAGTAAAATTAATACAAACAAACCAAAGACAATAAATACAATATAGTTCTCAAGAGCCTGAAGTAACTGAATCAGTACTTACAAGTGTTCCTCTTGGTCTCTATCTGCCTGTACATAAGCATGTAGGCATTGGTGGAACTGGAGAAAAAATAAAAACAAGAGTTAGAAGACTTAAATTTTTGAATGTCTAATTTTTCATTCACTATCAATGGTGAATTTCTTGCTGATTCTATAAATGTTACACTTCCTTCGAACTTATGGGGAGACCATTTTGACCCTAAATTTAACTTTACTCTCTACCGGTAAGCTGGGAGACTATTTTGACCTTTAAATCCACCTCACTTCCTTGCATCCTTCAGGGGGAGCATTCTGACCTCCAATTTGACCTTCCTGTCAATCTTCAGTTACACCATTCCCCCTAACTTCCAGTGACTTTACTGTATTCAAATAACTAGACATTATCATACAAACAAACAAACACAGTCAACAAAAACAAAACCTCCATACATGGAAGTAACAATTTATCAAATCATTCACATAAAGAGTTACCCATCAATGAAATTCTATTATTTGTAAAGCTGTCACACCCCCAAAATTTAAGTAGAGTGGTACAACCCACTTACCTAGCAAATGCTCCGGAGTAGTAGCCTCTGTGTGAGCCACTCCCACCGTAGGTCTTACGAATGTCATCATACGTGATCTTTGTGACGTGCTGGTCGTTAAAACTGTACCACTGCCCATCACGGAAGGACCTAGCGAAAAACAGTTCTTGTCACAAGGGCGCTCATTTAATAGTATAGGGGAGGTTTTGTGAGACGTTTCTTGAAACCTGGGAAAGACACAACATAAAATACTAAAGTTGTGCTTACTTGATATATGCATAGTAGTGTCCCCCGGCTGCACTTCCAGAGTGGATCATGATGGAAAACAGTTCATACATGTACGGACCCTGGAGGAAGAGAGAACATAAACATTACACAAAAATGTATATACAAGATGGCCGACCCATGACATCACAAACCAAGATGGCGGCACCCATAAACTCAAGGTTGAAACAGTACAGGTTTAAGAGACAAAGTTAACAGGAACCTTGGCTTGTTGTTCTTTCTTGTTCCTGTCGTTGATAACAGCTGTGTTCTGTTCGATGTCAATCCCTTCGTCTACCATGTCGTCCTGTGTCTCCCCGGTATGGTTCCTCAAGCCGGCATCATCCTCTGCACTACTGCCTGATGCAGACAAGGTGTCTTCTACGTCTGTTTTACTCTGAGGAGAATATTGTTTGTCACGGGGTCAGTATCAGCTGTATCTAATTTGTACATTTAAAGTGTCCCAAAAATGCAAATTAGACCAAAAGTGTCCCAAAAATGCAAATTAGACCAAAAGTGTCCTAAAAATGCAAATTAGACCAAAAGTGTCCCAAAAATGCAAATTAGACCAAAAGTGTCCTAAAAATGCAAATTAGACCAAAAGTGTCCCAAAAATGCAAATTAGATCAAAAGTGTCCCAAAAATGCAAATGAGATATAATCCACATTTGATACTTTTTATGACAAAACCTACATACCTGTATTGTTCCTGTCTCATCAGTGATGAAGCTGTTTAGGTTCAGGATTTCTGGGAATGTCATCCTGAAGAAAAAAGGGATATGTACGATTTAGAAATATAGAGTACATTCTCACTCTGTACATGTTGGGAAGTGAAAAGAAATAGACTCAGGAACTAGATTTAAAGTACTTTTCCCAAGGGCACAACCTTGGGGCTAGGGACTAGATTCTAAGTCAACAACCCTAACCAGAAGACCACCTCGCAACTTTTAGTGGCTTGTGCATAAAGAACTTTATTTTCTAACTTACTTGTCGTTGAGTTTGATCCTCTGCATGGTGTTATAGTCAAAGTCAAACCTCTTCAGCTGCATGGTCAGTAAGTAGGGGAACTTCACAAACTTCAGGCCCTAACAAAAAAAACAAATCAGAACACTTTAGAGCTTTGAAGCCTCAACAACTATATTCTAAATAATTTTTATACATGTCAAGACATGTTTTGAAGTCATTGAGATGTTAAATTTAAGGTATATATGAACTTTTCAAAGCATACCTTGTGAGCGTCACATTTCTTGTTGCACTTCTCGCAGAAGTACTGGTTGCTTCCGTCCAAGGTCTCGGGCTGTACAAAAGCCTCCAATGCTTCTTGCTAGAACCAGAAATTAAAAAAACGAACTTGTCATTAAAAAGCTACTTAAGAAAAAGCCTACATTAGAAAAAGAAGGTACCTTTGAAATTCTATACGAAAATATAAAAGCTACAGATACAACAAATTTTTAGTTACACACTGTTCTTTCCTTCACTGTTATTACCTTCGTTTATGGAGGTTTTGTTTTCAGTGCCTAGAGGGCATGACATAACCACAGACAGGAGTGACAGGAAATAGAGTTCAGTGGTAGAATTAGTCAATTTATTGACTTTTGCTGCTGGCGTGTGATGTTAGTAAAGACATTATTTGCCTAATTAATTAACTAGTATTAAAGTAAACATAGAAGGAGTTCTAGAAAATTTATGGAGTATGAGTTCTATGATTCTAATAAACATGACTGTTACATACCACATTGCCGTAAGCGTGCGTCGCTCCAAACGGACGTACAGTAAGCGGTATGTCCAGAAAGGCGTCCATACGCGCGCTCTCACTCCCACACTCCAGACAGCGTACGTAGTCCTTCAGCCTGCCCTGGTACAACTCATTGATGAGGTTTTTCTGTGGTAAGCAAGAAGAACGACACATGACATGAGTAGTGCTGTGTACGTAAACCCACATTTAGGTTCATGTCCGGATTCAAGTTCAGAGGTTTAGGTTCATTTCTGGACTCATAAATCCGGACCTAAACCCATGGCATATACAAAATTGCAACCTTGCAATGTAGTCTGGGCAAAACTGTGGCCACATAATATTTTACAAGTCCAGAACTGGTCCAGCGAACAGGTACACAGCACTAGACATGAGAACCTCCTAGTGACTTTTATATAAATTGCAGAACAGGTGAGTCTGTGAATGTTGGAGACTGTAGGAACTACTGACCTGGTCTGTGTTTTTCCACTTGGTCTCCAGAGCATCAAACATGACTCTGCACAGTTCCTGCACATCGTGCTGCTGCCAGGCTGTTGGGAAGCACACAAAAAACACACTTTGTTATCCCTTCAAAATTCTGTCTAAAAAATCTATCAACATATTTGAGATCATCTCAAACCTACTGAACAAAACTGACTTTGCCTGGGAACGATAAGGGACCTTTGAGACTATCCCTATAAAATCAAACAACTACGAACACTTGAGATCATCCCTGAAGAATCTGTGTGAAGAAAAATGTCAGCGAAACAGTCCCAAAACCAAACTCCCCTTAAACAAAACTCCTTTTGTTTAGAAACAGTAAAACTGTTATGAGACTATCCCCCACCATCGCTGCTGTCCCATCCGAAGCTCCTGGTGATGTCTGTTGTCTCCACAGCGCGCTTCTTGCTGGTCTGCAGCTGGATGAACAGCTTCTGCAGCTGTGAAGGGATGCTGCGGGCCTCCTCCTCCTCAGAACCATCAAACTCCCACCTGGAACAAAGTAACACTTACTCAAGCAACTGGATAAATTCTGAATCCCACCTGGAATGATCATTGACATTTAGAGCCTCTGCACCTGAGGTGTTGCCAAAAAATCTTGTTGCTTCATAGACTGATCCCGTGGCCATAATACATGCAAATATTTAACACAAAAGCAGCCACACTCCCTCAAAGGTATAACTGTTAATTGCTATGCTACGATTGGTTGAACTGCTAATTATGATTGACAGGATTGGTTGATTGGTTGGATGGATGATTGTCAACTGCCATATCTTTCTTACAGTGCTTTGATATGAATCTATGATGATACAAGAATTTTCAGTTGTTGTTCTACACTACCACTTACTTGTAGACTGCATTCCTAAACTCTGGTGTCATGTACAGTGTCTGGAGCAGACTGTTCAGGTAACAAGTCATAGCCTGGTTCACCAGTCCAACATAACCTGCAAAAAGACAAACAAATAAACAAACAAGATATTGGTGATATCAGATTTCCAGGAAGTTTATCTGGGCTTCGTGACCTGAATGAGAAGTTCACCCTTTTCCTGTGACTGATCTTTTGACCTCTTTGTGCCAGTCAATCTTCCCCAACCCATGTGCTCTCAACCTACTCTCAAGTTCACCACATTTCCCTTATCTGACCTTTTGAACTGTAATTCTGCCTGTCAATCTTCCCACACACAAATGTTGTCAACCAACTCTCAAGTTTACTCCATTTCCAGTGTTTGACCTTTTGACCTGTCATTCTGCCTGTCAAGTGTCAATACATGTAACTTCACTCTTATGCTCTCTGGACAAACATACACACAAACCCACGGCACCCAAAACAACACTTCCGTAGTCAGTAATAACAATACGATAAAAAAGTCCCTTACCAGTGTCAGATTTGATGAGTGCTGAGGCATAGCTGTAGGTGCTGTAGTCAGTACTGGGGTTGGGAGAAGGGCCGTAGACAGGCCCGTACACACTGGTACTGTCTGTACTACCTGTGGCCTGACTCTCACTGATGGCCAGGGCATCTCCAACTGTGTCCTCATCCTCCTGTAGTAGGCACAATAAGTCAGCAGTTTAACTACAAGCAATCAAAGATTTCATGCATCTGTTAAGTATTTAGCTTTTAAACATAGTAAAAAAACATACCATCTGAATTCATTCATAACATCTAAATTCATAAAAGCCATATCATAAGACACCAGAACCAAACTCACAAAGTGTACATTAACAGCAGCCATGTGCCAACACTCAGAAGCAAAGTTTGACTCAAAATCAATCTGGCTTCAAAACAAAGCACTTCTTCCACTTTTGACCAATAAAATTATCAGATTTAATTTTGCAGTAGATCGAGAGCAATGTAAACTCAAATCAAAATGATTTCTTCACCTATTTATGGTACACTAGTTGGGACTCTAGAAACAGAGGAATTGCAGTATGTATACTGTAAATTCATTTAATTTCACATTTCTTTTCTTCCGTAGTAAGAGGGGAAAAGAAGGCTTTCGCAGTGGTTTGAAATTGCAGTTTGCAAAATTCTGTACTACAGTAGTAATACCTTAGAAACACATAATTCATAATGTCATACTTCACAGTAGAGAAGTCAATAAGAATAAAAAAGGCCACAAAAGTTTTCTGATTTACAGTATTACAAGATCTGTAGTTAAAAATTACTACCATGAGCTTTTTATGGCATTTCAAATCTACCGTGTCCATTTTTTAAAAAATAGCAAGGCAGTTATATGCTTACAAATAGTAACACAACATCTTGGTTGTTCAAACAAAAAAGGTGTTTGGAGATGTTTACCTGGGTAGTGGACTGTGGAGCTTGCCCATCTTTCTCATTGATGACAAAGTGGTTTCTCTTGTTGTCTGGGAGAAGACCCAACTGGAACAGGGTGTCCTTACTGTCTTCTTGAACATCAACCTATCAAAAAAAAAAAAAAACAGTCAGAAAATGGGAAAGAAAGAAATAATCTTCCACCCAACATCTGCTTGGGAGATAAAGACAACACATTGTGTAAAACAATTGTTACATACTAATCTTCAAGCAGATATTGGGGTGAAAGATTTTTAGACTTCATGAACAGCCATCACATAAAAAAAGCCAGGAAGTTAGAATAGTAAAATTTTACACCTGACAACAATGCTACTTAATAACATATACAAAATGAACATTGTACAAGGTTCAAAGGCTACTTGACTGTACATACACAACATGTTCATCACAATTAACAAAATGGTTTGAGAATTGAAGTATAAATGGTATATTGTAAAAACATAACCAAAAGCCTAACGTTATTCCTCATTATATAAACATAGTGCCATTTGAAGAGAAAAGAATGTAATCAACACACATTGTCTCCGCTGTCCTTTCCTCCCCGTTCCCATAGTAGGAGGAATGTCCCAGGGACGTAGTTTGCGTGCTGAGCCACCTCGTTGTACAGGGAACACATGGTGGTGGACGCGGGGAGGTTCAGCGTGATTCGCGAGCGGCTGTAGTTCACCGTACACATGTCTCGCACCAGACACAACATCTTGGGCTCGTCCGCTGCACAAACCATCTACGTACAAGAAATAAAAAATTTCAGACTTCAAGAAAGTATTTTGGGCTTTTGTGAGCTTAAGACAGACTTTGTTTGAACTGTGTAGGGGATTGCAAGATGTAATTCAATCTGGCTTTACTGTTACACCATTTCCTGAAGATGCATGTTGGGTCACCTTCACCTCCCTAGCAATCAACTGTCAAAATCACCTCCCACTCACCATGGAACCGGAGCAATGAGGGTAGGCAGACAGGCAGGCCATCAACTCAGCCATATACAAAACAAAACTTTTGTGCTGGGATTTAGTTGGAAGTAGATATATTTTCAGAGCAATTGTGATATTGGGAAGCCCCTTGGTTGTTGCCAAAAAATAACACAAGACAGTGGATTACAAACATAGGAATAAATACTTGTTAATCAGCTGGAGTGAGAAACAATAGAATTTGCAAACATCATTTATATGATAATTAGGAAAACAATTTGAAGCCTTCCAAGTCCAATGTATTCACAAAAACAACCAAATGGAACAACAGTTGTTGATTAGAAAAACACTTTCCTAAGTAGTAGAGTAACTTATTTGTTAAGTGGTCCTATGTTGTTGCTAATTTTTTTTATAATTCGTAGAAAAATGCCGAAAAATGTTTCAAAGAAAAATATTTTTGATGCAATTACACGGTTGACTAAGTGGGGCAAATTATGGTGAAAAATCCTTCCAAATGACATATAATTTTCTAAACATAAACCATGCAGTTAGTAATGAAAAATACCCATATGAGAAAGACGCACAAAATACCAAATTATGAAACAAAGTGCGTATAAAACAAATTTTTTCATATCTTCAGCTGGCCTTCTGACTAGTTTGTGAAAGTAAAGTCCAGGAACTAAAGATGAGGAAAAATTCCAAACACTGTACTGCAATTTTTGTCTAGTTCATGTATAGCTGTACTTCATAAGGAGTCCACAAATTTTAAAATTTCTGTAATTTTCAACAAATAAATTGTTGTTTTTGCAAACGTACAAAAGTGAAGGAGTGAGAATTTTGTGTTGTGTACTTCGGTCTGACGTCTAGTCTGGTCAAGCTTTCACGTGGACACTTTCTTACCTCCGTGGCCACTACTTGCTTTCCCTCGACGGGAAGCATGTTTTTTCCTCCAAGTTCCCGTCGTTCCAGTTCGAGAAAAATGTACGAGGCTTCAGTTTAAAAGAGGAAACGGCGACGCCATAGAAAAAATGAATCAGTCTCCCCTCGATATTTCCAGGGTTCAAGATGGCAGCCTCACCTGGCGCATGCGTGAGGGGGAAATCTCGCGGGGTGAGGTCACGCGAGATTTGGCGAGATTCTGCCTTTTCCGCCTTCGTCTGCCACCAAGAAGCAGGATGAGGTAATCTCTCTGCAAAATCCTTCTGAATCTGCGCTAATCCTGGGTTGTTTAAGACGATTTTTCTCAGATTTTCACAGGAAAGGAACACGGATGCGTTTTTGGATTAAATTTGGTTAAAATTTGATGTCGATTCGTCGTAATTTGTGGTGATTTGGCAATGGATTCTGAGGTAAAATGTGGTGCACGTCGGCCATGCTTCCTGTGTGCGTGTACGAACACGTACAAGACGCTCAGTTTTCAGAAAATCACACAAAAATTTAGCAGCAAAGTTTTGATTTCTAATCAGAAAAGACAGAAAGAATCTCCGTTAGAAACTAGTCTTTGAAAATTGTGAAATCCATGCCATGACGATGATGTGATCTTTCTTCAGCTTACCGTCTTTATTTTATGACACTTGCAATATCTGCTTGGAGATCAAATTAAAAGGGTTGACCCCCAGCAGTACATAGCCATATGATATCGTGCCGCTAATAATAAAATGTCTTAGACCATATCATAGTAAAAAATATGATAGCTAGTCTATATATCATATAAATTACAGAGTACTCCCAAGATTATCGTTACATAAATTATTTCAGAAATTTCTCAATAATTTTATGCCACAGTTTGATGTTATGTAACAAGACTCCCATTATATTAAGTTTAAAAAAGAAGTAAAACCCAGTAGATTTAGGAGTTACGGTATTACATCCTTACATACAAGCATCAAATGTCCCTTTTGACCGTTTTGTACTTAAATTCTCCCTCGGGCAAGAGTTTTCAATAAACAATTATTAAATTTTATCTAAAATCCCTTGTTTTCCCTCCACAGTAAGATAAACAGGGACAACCTGTATGAGTCCGTGGACACGGTCCTCGCGCACTCCAAGAACAAGAAGCGCAAGTTCGTGGAGACCGTCGAACTTCAGATCGCCCTGAAGAACTATGACCCCCAAAAGGACAAGCGTTTCTCCGGCACCGTCAAGTAGGCTACCAACTACTGCTACAACCTACTAGCTAGGTAGTCGCACTGAATGTGTGGCGGACCTCAACCCAGGGTCTTAAATATCTGGGGAGGCTAGGGCACCAAAGTGTCCTAGCCGTTACTTAAGGATTCCCACACTTCAGCTGGGAAGGTTGCAAACTGGTACTTTTTTTTATCAAATAGATTGCAAGCATCACACGTTGCAAGTATGAATCAGGAATGTATGCTCAGTCGTATTGGAAAATATGAAGGAAATTTTTTACACAAAGATCATAGGTTAATCGAAAGTAGCCAAGTTACATGACATACCCAATTACCTCCAAGTATGCAACCCAACTTTAAAGTCAACACGAGACACCTACTTAACACCTAAAAAGCTGAAAAAAGTTTTTCATTGAAGAAAGGAATTAAATGATTCCAATATGTTCTTAGTCTTACTCTTAGAAAAGCTCATCAACCCTGAGCTTGTGATTTTGTTGTGTAACTTTTGTATTTTGCAATTTGGCAAGGTCATTTGAAATCATTGTATGATCAACTTGCACAAAAAACATGTCAAATCTGTAGAGGCACCAAGGCTGTTCAGTGATGACAATATTCTGCATGTGTGCAGAGCTCCAGCCGTGAAGAGCAACCAGAAATAGCTCTAGAATTACACTGAGAACCACGCCTGGTCAAAAATCTACATTCAGCAGAAGAAAAGAGTGGTTTAGTGTGTTGTTTGTACGAAGTGTTGTTGTTTTTGTTTTCCCAGGCTGAAGCACATGCCCCGTCCCAAGTACCGTGTGTGCGTGCTGGGCGACCAGCAGCATATTGACGAGGCCAAGGCTAATGAGATCCCCTGCATGGACGTGGAATCCTTGAAGAAGCTCAACAAGAACAAGAAGCTTGTCAAGAAGCTTGGTAGGTTTACTTAGTTTTAACACAAACCTTTTATTTGGAGTGAAAGTACTGTTACAGCTGTGTGTGTGCATGTTTCTGCTTTTTTCAATCAATATACACAATGCAACATTGCCATACATTGTCAGGGTAATGGTCAGGGTTGCTGTTGATAACGCAAATCCATTTGGATTAAAGACTTTGACTTGTTATTGCATGTTTGCCAAGTATATACGTATGTGTATATGTATACGTATGTATCAGTGCTATTTTTTGGCACCGCCTCTTGGTTGGAGGCACTTTCTTGTCTGGGACTGGAAAGGTTGCAAAGCAGCAAGGGTATGGGTTCTAAGAGGGGAAGTCTGCCATCTCTGATTGTTATGTTAAAACACTTAGAAACCAGACTTAAATTTTTCTTAGTATGATGACTCAAGTCCTCATAATTTCTTATTCTCTTAATTTCTAGCCAAGAAGTATGACGCTTTCCTGGCGTCGGACTCTCTGATCAAGCAGATCCCGCGTATCCTGGGCCCCGGTCTGAGTAAGGCTGGCAAGTTCCCCACCCTCCTGACTCACAACGAGTCCATGACGGGCAAGGTGGAAGAGGTCAAGTCAACCATCAAGTTCCAGATGAAGAAGGTGAGATTATTAGAACTGTTGTTCAACAATTGAACAACGTATCGTCACTCAGTTGTCAGATCATGGAGCTAGAAAAGGACCAATCAGCTCGAAAAATTTATGTCCCTTGCAGGGGTCCACACAAAAAAAGGCTAGGGTCAGTCAGGAAACAGGAGACATTTTTTTCCTATACCACTAGTCTTTCTGAATTTCAAACATAATACATATATGATACAATAGTCAATACAATACAGTACTGACAGACATTGTAGGGCAATCTTGACTACAAGGCAGTTCAATGATGACAATATTCTGCATGTGTGCAGAGCTCTAACTATGAAGAGCAACCAGAAATAGCTCTAGAATTACACTGAGAACCGTGCCTGGTCAAAAATTAAAACTGTACTCTCTCTAAAACAAAACAAGGCAGAAAGTAAGACTATATTTCTATGCGGTGTAAGCCAGTTGAAAAGACAGCAGCCACTCTCTAATTGGCCGATTCACTAATTGCCATGCTGTCATTGGTTGAAATGCTAATTGTGTTGGACGGTTAGGATTTGTCTATTTCTAGTATTCACCAATTCTCTCATTGGTTGAACTGCAAAATGTGATGGACAGTCAGGATTGGTCTCACCTCATCTTCTCACCAGTGTTGTTATTGTGTTGTTGTTTAGGTGCTGTGCCTGTCTGTCGCCATCGGACACGTCAACATGTCTGCGGAGGACCTGGTGGCTAACGTCGTGCTGGCCGTGAACTTCCTCATCTCTCTGCTAAAGAAGGGCTGGCAGAACGTGCGTGCCCTGTACATCAAGTCCACCATGGGACCATCCCAACGCCTGTACTAAATCTATATTTGTCATCATCAATAAAATGTGAAGACAATTGTACATCTCGTGTGTGCTGTGTTGTTCTTGCTTCTCAGATTGAAATGAGTTCTCCATAGAAAAAGAAATATATACTCATACATATACCTAATACTAGTAGTACTACTGTAGTAGTAGTATATTGCTTTGGCCAAATGCTGGCATGTTGACACATAAATTGAGTACAATGCTGAAATCCATCTGTGCAAATTGGTAGAAGTTATACTGTAAGATTAAGCCACACCAATTTAATTTCCACACCAATTTTTAATTTAATAAAAACAGGCCAAAATGGTACGATAGGAGCCACGAAGTCAACACACCAGGCTGGTTCAAAATTTAAACAATGAATTTTGAACTTTTAATGATACCATTGCATTGAAAGATGGAATAACTGTAACAACTAGGAAGAAAAGGTCTGTTTTCAACTGTTCAGGGCAAAATATGCGCATTTTGCAGTTGATTCTGGATTTTTATTTTTATTTGCAAGTCTGAAAAAAATGAAGCGGCGAATCCGTTAACCAAGAAATTAAATTGGTGTGGCCTTAATTGAATTTGGCAATGGCTTTATGTAGGAGGAAAAAGATTTTAGAGGTACAAAATGGCAAACTGGAATGGTGGACATATCAACTACTTACTAATACCAGCTCAGAAAAGAACAAGAAATACAACTTGTTAGACCTAACCTTGGCACATTTGTAAGCATTGTTTAAATCCTGTATTCGCACCTGTTTCAGTCTATAATACTAAAAGTAGTTCAAGGGGGAAAAAAATAGTTTTTGAACACCAATCCTTAATTGATAAATAGTATGTACCAGAGTTATCAACCAAGTATTGATTAAGGAATTCAAAGTTTTTTCTTGACCTGTCACAGTATACATCGTATAGGGGCATCATTTCTAGATACTAGTAGCTTGCAGTTAGATGTACAAAGGTTTGGAGTAACAGATTGTTGTGTGTAACACGGCCAGCTGCCACTATGCTTTGAATCTGGTATGTTACGCCGAAGGATGATAATATGGGCTATACAGAAGTCTGAGCTCTTAACAACATTGATGACTATCAAGCACTTGTTCTTGCTCAAATGTTTTCTTGTTTATTTCTAGATTGATGAGGTAAAATATCATAATACAAGTCTGGTTCAGCAAACAAATGCTAACCAAGGTTACAAATAGTGATTTAAGTTTGGTTTATAAAAGAAAGGCTTTGGTGGTAAATGGTAATACATTTTTTGTACGTACTATTTTTATTATTATTATATCCCCTACCTGTCCAATATTATACACCATCTACTAGGTAATACATGTACATGTATACTTGGTTGATTATAGTTACTTTGTGAACATTGCAACCATACATATGATATATCCTACTAGTATTCGTATCACAAACATGCGAAGAATTTCCTTAAACTTGCATGATGAACAATCACAAACAACCACACACATCCTCCGCATTTTCATGCTCTATTTTGGACACAGTATACTACTACTGCACCACCACACCATACTTATCATGCACACATTCATATAGAAAGGCATCAGAACATACATATTTCTACCTTACATAATATGGGTAAATGTTACACAGAAATGTTGGTAACAGTTGTGCATACTTGCTATTGTAAAGTAGAATGTAATGATTGTTCTTCTGAAAGCAGCATTTGGCAAAAACATAAAACAATTTTGACATTAAAGGAGTACTCCACTTCAAAATGAGTATTAAAATTTCCCAGAGAGTAATTTTTTATGTATGAATCCAGTTTGTCAAATTTACTATAAGTTGAAGCGTGAATGCAGCACAAGCTATGTAGCGATAGAATTCTTAAAACCCCCTTAGGAACCTTTCCATCACTAACTGTAGGTTCTATAAGTTATGAAAGGTGTAGATTGACTATCAAACGTAGAGGGAGGTACACAAAAAGTATAAACCCTCGAAAGGGTCCTTCGGGGGTTTCAAGAACTTGCACATTACAACCTTCTTGCTGGTTCAGACTTCAACTTATGGTAAATTTGACAAAACAAGCTGGAATTAAGCATAAAAATTTAGCTTTTTCTGGGATTTTAAAGCCCAACTTTGAAGTGGAGTATTCCTTTAAAGTTCAACAAGCACAAGTCAAAACTTCACTGTCCTCCAAAGAATAGACCCTGTTGGCATGGTTGTGTGTTCAATTTGCTTATCCAGCATGAAAAAATAAAATAGTATATCAAAAGATGTATTCTTTGGAAACAATGTTGTCTACATCTGACATTGCATCTTCAATAGGGTTTGTGGCACTTTATAGTAACAGTCTTGCAACATGAGTCTTGTGCAACAGCAATTTGATTTGTTGGTTCTTGAATTTTTGCAGGAAAGCAATGGAGCAGGTGACAGCCCGAAATGCTACTATAGGAGGCACAAGGTCAACATACTAGTCTAACAAAATGAATTTGGAACTTTAAATCAAATCAATGCACTTTTTGACATCTTTAAACCCCAATTTTTGTCCATCAAAGGAAGACAAGATAACAGTAAACTTGAAATGTATGTTTTTCTGCAAATCAGAAAAAACAATGAAGCACGGAATCCAAGAACCAAGAAATCAAATTGGTGTGGCCTTATGATGACAGAAAACTAGAATTCGGGGGGGAAAAGCATCAAAGTCCACCACCAGACAAGAGTATAGTGCCTTCCAAATCCATTATCTTAACACTAGTCGTCGTCAAAATCACTGAGCTCCGAATCGTCGCCCCCGCTGTAGTAATAGAAGAGCAGTTCGTCCAGCCAATCGTCGCTGTCGGCCCAGCTGATGTCACTCTCCCCGTCGTGATCTTCGTCATCGTCCAGACGCATGTGGCGCGAGCTACGGTGTTCGAAGAAGTCCCACAAGTTGTAGTTCTGCATAATCTGTAAGCAAAACCATGTAACATGAAAAATACATTTTATTGTGTACAGATAGAGCAAAGAATTGATATAAGGTACTTTGAATGTTCTTTGCATTGTATGGTAATTAATAAGATTTGATCCTAAAATTTACACTCTCCAAATTACTGTGTTTTCATTTTATCTCTCACTAAAGGAAACCCCTGGTAAAATGATAATTAGGTAGAATACTGTGAAGTATGCTTGGTGGAGGGGGGATAGTGTATAGGTGTGACTGAACTTTGACACTGTTGAGCAATAGATTTTCATTATTCCTGTCACTGATGGAAATCCTCTTGTAAAATGATAGTAAGGTAGCATGGGAGGACGTATGCTAAGTGGAGGGGGGATAGTGTAACTGTAGCCTTTGACACTGTTGATCAAGAACCTACCCTAAATCTGCCATCTGACCCCCCCACCTTCCTGGGTGGTTTGGGCTCTTCCTTCCTGCCATCAGGATAAGCGTGGAGGTAGAAACAGTTGCCGCCAAACGGACAGGTCCCCTTGCCTTGGTTGAAATACTTGCACGGCTTCTTGCTACACATGGGAACATACAGCAGTACTTCTTTCAACATGTAACTTGTTATTGCGATTCAGGGAATGTACACAGTCAGGTACAACAGACTTAGATGGTATGGCCACCTCCAGAGAATGGACAGGGACAAATGGCCGAAGAGGATCCTCACACTGGATGTGGAGGGTCCAAACCCCCGTGGCCGCCTTAGAAGGAAATGGTACGACAACATACGAGAGGACCTCCACCACCTGAACTTAGATAAAATCAACCCACAGGACAGAGACAAGTGGCGTGCTGCCATCAAGCCCCAGATGTATTGTGCTTGCGGTCTAACCCTCGGAAGACGGGGAACAACAGACGATAAACCGGACAGTGAGTGAGTGAGTGAGTACAATGTACAACGATTGGTTCAATTGTTTTGCACTAGATTCAAGAGACAGAAGAAGAACTGACCTGAGAGCCACCTTGTATGTTCCGATCAACTCTGTCTTCTCCGCGGACTCTACCACCCAGTACTGACTGGGGGTCACGAAGTCTGACTTGACTCGGCATTCAGGGCAGGACCTGGGAGAAATATATCGTGTGATAATGTTATCCTGTGCTCTAGCCAGCGTCAGTCTTTCTGTCATTTCACAGAATTTTGCCACTCGTGATGGGCAATAACTTGCCCAATCCATCATCTTTTGCGGACAAAAATCGGTGTCTACAGATATGGAAAGTGATGAAAGAGAGAGGTGCAGGTAAAATTTGTCTGGTGCAGGTCATTTTCAATGTTTCAATCATTCATTCATTCATTCATTCCCTGTGCTTGAGTTGCCATCTTACCTTACGATCTTCTTCTCGAACTGACGAGCACTGCGCCACTTGCGGATACAGCTGAGGCAGAAGGGGTGGTTACAGTTGGACAGGATTCCAAACCGTCTCTCGCTCGGAGGACTCTTGTCCCAGATAACCTAAAACAACAAGAATTCATTTAATTTCTCGTTTCTTCCGTGTGAATTTTTAAGCAATTTTCAACTTGCTCCTTGACCTAACTTCCTGTCATTGTCATACATATAAGGCAACAGACATGTACATGTATATAGCAATATACTGAAGACAGGAAATGAGATGACCTTTTCTGGGACCAATCTGGGACCTTTGACCTAACTTCCTGTCAGGACCCTCAGAGAAATCAAAAGCAATACCTCCCCACGAATAGTAGGCTCTTTCATTGACCCCTAGACCTGGAATGTCTGTCATAAATTACTATTTCTGCCAACTCTGAACTTAAACTACCAAAAATTTCACTTCCTGCCATTTTGTGATGAACATTAATACTAGACTATGAAAAATAATACAATGGTACACAGACTCACTAACAGAACAAACACACCGAAAACAAAACAATACCTCCATTCACGGAGGTAATAAGAGAAGTCGTAGTGTAGCACCAACCTCCATACAGATGCCACATTGGATGTCCTTGCTCCGAGCAACAGCAAAAGAGTGTTCCATGTCCTTCTCATGGTCCGACACACATTGCTGTCAGGAAAGAAAAAAAGTTAGTTATACTGAACAAGACTATACATGGTTTCAGCATGAAAATAAAAAAGCTCCCTAAGGCCACACCAATTTAATTTCTTGCTTAACGGATTCGCCCGCTTCATTTTTTTCTGATTTGCAAATAAAAATAAAAATTCAGAATCAACTGCAAAATGCTCAAATATTTTGCCCTGAACAGTTGAAAACAGTCCTTTTCATCCTAGTTGTTACAGTTATTCCATCTTTCAATGCAATGGTATCATTAAAAGTTCAAAATTCATTGTTTAAATTTTGAACCAGCCTGGTGTGTTGACTTCATGGCTCCTATCCCCATTTTGGGCCATAATAGGATGCCTAGGCCTGTTTTTATTTTTTACGCCCGCCCGCTCCATTATTTTTCTAGAAAAATCCGTTAACCAAGAAATTAAATTGGTGTGGCCTAATGAACATTTTTTTACATCATGGGCCACCGACATGATTGCAGCTATTTGCATTTTAGTGAATCCTAGCTCAAGTGTTTTTTGGAAATCTCGGGATCTTATGAACCTCTCTACTAAGAGAATACAAGAAGAATACATAAAAACTCACAGAAAAAATGTTCTAAAATGTTGTGGTCCATTGAAATCCAGGACACCAAGTTGAACATGGTGCACCCACATAAAAAAATTGGGTGCACAGCTCCAAATTTGGGTGAAATCCTGCAGAAGCAGGGCTGGGTTAGCTACACACCGCCAGGCCCACAAACTGTGATTCAGTGTGAACTGATCATCCGTCAGGATGCAAAGGACTATGATGATGATGAAGGTGCACATGCACCCAGTATTTCCAGCCCTGATAGGGGAACTAGATGTACTGACCTCCATGTGCTGTGTCTGCTGTGCCTGGTCGTTCGGATGCAGACAGTAGCTGCCGCACAGCTCACACAGCAGGCCGTGGGTGTAAACACACCGGTCGCCATAGCGACACGACCCCATCATGGCGTACGGACACAGCAGCTTCCTGGTCTCCTCCAGGTCCACTTTGGAGGCATCCTCGTCTGCTGTCCCAACTGTACAGCAGAACAATAAACATTATGAAATGGCTCCCCCCCTGTGCTGTTGCCAAAAATCAAAAAGTTTTAACACTAGTGCTAGGTATGGAAATTTCAAAAACAAGCATTTTTAACACAATATATTAATATATATATAAATATAGCACATGATGTGAACTGTGAAGTGTGCAATAGAATTCAGGGAAGTTTGTATTTTTGTACCCTCCATAGCATGCCAAAAACTGGG